CCTCTGGGCTTGAGCTGCCTTCCTACGAGCCATCCATACTTTTTCATGAAGGGTAGTACTTATTTATAGCTGAGTAGTATTATCAGCCTGTTTCTTGCCCATAGAATTTTGGGAGTTCAACAGCATTCTTTGATTTTGTCCTCTCTCTGTCCCTCGCAGTCCAAGCTGGCAGTGTTTCTGTTGGTGTAAAATTCTCAATCTTGTAGGTCTGTGTATGTCATGGGACTTCACTCCATTAGACAAGAGGCTTCTCCACAGATCTCTCCTAGATAATCCCATCTCTGTTCTTGGCTTCTGCTGAGATGGTTAAGGGGATCCATAAGTCACACATAATCTCTTCAGAAAGTCATCTGTGTAGATGAATATTCTGTCCTTTTGATCCTTCTGAGACACCAGAAAAAGGTGGTCCAACCACACCCTTGGCTTTTTCTACAGAGCACATTTCCCTTAACAGTGAATCTCCTAATATTAGCATCTTTTGCATTGTGGATAGGCTGAGAATTTCTCAAATCAACTTGAGGTTCCTTTTGAACAATTCTTCCCTAGAAGAATTTATCTCTGCTCTTGCATTTTACTATAAGCATCAAAAAGAAACCAGAAAGTTCCCTCATCTAAATATCCAAGTTGATCATAGACAATTTCTGCTTTCCACATAACTGTAGGACACAATTCAGCTAAGTTTCTACCACTATCTAAGGATTCTCCTTTCTTCCAATAACCTTCCTCAGTTCTTTCTGAGCCCTCACCAGCAGTACTTTTAGTGTCCGTATTTCTGACACTAGTCTGTTTATGATTACATATTCTCTAAGACTGTAGATTTTCTGTATTGTACTCTTGAGTCCTCACTGGCAGAGTTGTTAACATCCATGTTTCTACTGACAGTTGTACAAAGCATTCTATTCTTTTTCTGTCATCATCCTCATACTTCTAGTCTCTGACCGTTGCCCAATTCCAAAACCACTTTTATGTTTTTAGGTGGTTCTTACAGCAGCACTCCACTCCTAGGTACCAAAATCTGTATTAGTTCCATTTTGCTGCTGTAACAAATTAACCACAAACTTTGTGGTTCAAAACAATACAAATTTATTGTAATTCTGAAGGTCAGGAGTTCAAAATGGGTCTTAAAGGACTAAAAGTGTGAGCAGGGCTGCTTTCTGTCTGGAAGCACTGGAGACAGTCCTTTCCTTGGCTTTTCTAGCTTCTAGAGGCTATCTGTATTTGGCTCATGGCCACATCACTTCCAACTTCTGTTTCTGTAGTCACATCTTCTCTGACTCTGACCCTTGGTCTCCTTCTTATAAGGATCCTTGTGATGACATCAGGGCCATAGGGTGGGTAATCTAGGATAATCTTTCCCATCCCGAGATCCTTAATTTAGTTACACTTGTAAAGTCCCTTTTGCCATGTAAGGTAATATATTCACAGGTTTTGGGGATTGGGATGTGGACGTCTTTGGGGGGCCATTTTTCTGCCTGCCACACTTGCTCTCCAATGAACCCTTGTGCATTTAGTGAACAACAATTGAGGCCCTTAGATGGATGCTAAGGGACATATAGATGAGTGTTGTTAGGCAAAATTACTGCCTCTGTTGCTTGTTGGGCCAGACAGAGCTCGAAAAGGTCTTTTTTATATCAGGAGATTTTTTTCTACCCAATTAAATGTATTACATTATTCTACCCTGCTTATAACATGGACTGATGTAACACTAGGATTTTTCACCTGGGTTGACAGTTACTGTGCAGGAGTGTGGGTTTACTGTTGCCCCAAATCAGGATTTTTATGTGAGACTTCCAGTTTTTATAACATGATGTAAGTCAAAGCAGCCCCGTAGGCCAAATTCAGGCTGTTGGCCAGAAGTTTACAACTGCTGTCTTATGGATTAGCGATGTGATCTAATGATGGATCACAATTGTGGATGGATAGATAGATAAGATAATAGATATATATGATTGATACTGGGATGTGAGTACTGTGAGTCTTAATACTACAGAAATGCTGTTCATACGTACAGAGTGGCTAAGAAACACAATATAAGTTGGGGCTGTTGGCACAAAAATAAGGCAGTGCAACACTTGTCTACTCCTTTACTCATTCAGCCATCAAATCTTCCATGCTAGACCTATGCTGGGGGGTGGAGGTGGGGGTGGAGAGAAAAAACAAGATAGGATTCTAGTAGGGTGAGGCCTGTAAATCATAAATCTGGTGATTTAAAGGCTAAAAGCTTTTACAAAGTCCTGCATGTCCCTGAGCCTGGCCCAGCTGACTGTACGTGGGAGTTAGGTAAGGCCACATAATAGATCTGACTGCAGAGCATATGGTTGTTTTTGAAATAATTATTGAGAACTTTACATCTGTTTTGAGCATTTTGTACATAACGTCTCCTTTAAAACAACAGCTCTGTAAGGCAAATGTCCTAATTTCATGGATGAGGAAAAATGAGAACAAAAAGGTATACCCTATAAGCCAATTTCACAGCAAAGAAAATTAAACAGGTTGAGTAAGTCCTCTAAGGCCACAGAGCTAATAAGTGGTAGAACCAGGTTATGAATCCAGGCTGTCTAAACTCGCAAATGATGAGGAGGTATAAACAGGCGGATCTGTCAGGTGGCAGGATGGAGGAAGGGTGCTGCAGGCAAAGAGAACAGTGCAGACAAAGCAGGATCAGTGTGAGCAGAGAAAGGAAGGACATTGAGCACACTGGCAAGATAAATGGTATAATCAGGATGCCCTTAGTTTCAAGTACCAGTAAGTCTGACTCTTAGTAGTTTCAACACTAAAAGGAACTTATTGGTTCATATAACTGAGGATTGAGTAGTGGGCTTGAGGTAAGCCTCATTTGGCAACTCAATGATGTCACCAAATAGTAAGGATTGTTTCCCCTTGGAGTCCAAAAGTGGCTAACGTCAGCTTCCGGTATTACATCTGTTCTGACTTCCAGCAGGATGTATTCTGTCCAGCATTGCAAACAAGTCCTGAGACTCACTCTGACTGGATCAGCTTGGGTCCTTTTTTTTTTTTTTTTTTTTTTGGTGCGGAAGATTGGCCCTGAGCTAACATCTGTGCCAGTCTTCCTCTATTTTGTAGTGTGGGTCGCTACCACAGCATGGCTTGAGTGGTGTAGGTCCGTGGCCAGGGTCTGAACCTGCGAACCTGGGCCGCTGAAGTGGAGCGTGCTGAACTTAACCACTGGGCCGGCCTCAGCAGCTTGGGTCTTAAGCACACCAATCAGTATCCTTAGGGAGATAGGATGGATTGATTAGCTTAACCTAGCTCTCCCATTCCACTCTTAAAGCTGGGCATGCAGTTCCCTTCCCCAGAACCATGAGGTTCCCAAGTGGAATTCAGGTGCGTGGGTAGGGAGAATGAATGCTGGAAGGACAATCAACATAGGTGATGCCTCTTGAATCCTTTTACATGATGATATCTGCATCCTAGAGTCAGGGATTTAATGGATAAATGTATAGAAGTGTGAGCAAGTCTCATTTGAGTGAGGAAGGACCCTGCTTGGTTGGGACCAGATGTTATTTAAGATAAAGGTTAAGATGCTGTAATAAAAGACACCTAAATGCAGCAGCTTAACCAAGACTACGTTTATTTCTGTCTCATTTTACAGAGCTAGATATTTCAGAGCTGGGAGGGACTCGGGCATCCTCACAGTACTTCCATTTCTGAGTTCAAGGTGGCTGTTCCTGTAGTCACCTCTCAGCAGAGAAGGGAAAAAGGCAAGGGGAAGGCATGTCCCTATTTTTCATGGCACCACCTAAGTGGCACACACTTCCTTTCATGTAATTCCCATTGGCCATTATTTAATCACAGACTCACACCTAGCTGCCAGAGAGGTGGGAAGATGGAGTCTAGCAGAATGGCCATATGCCCACCTAAAGCTTTTAAGGAGAAAACTTGTACTTCTCATGGTTCAGGGATGAGAGCCTGGTGTCTGTTCTTCTAAGTACACTTGTCTGTCCCGTCTGATCCTGAACCACATGTCAGCTGCTTCTGTCGCTAACCTGTGCCTCCTGGCTGCAGCCAGAGTGCCCACCATTGGTTAGGTTCTCTGGTGGAGGAAGTCACCATGGCCGACACCATGCTTAAAAAGGGAGAGCTGCTGTACCTGGCTGAATTTGCTACCGGCCCTCACCTGAATTCCACACCATAGCTCACTCCATTGCTGACACGATGTGGGAGTAGCCGGCCACCAGAACCATTCCTACCGTGGCCTCTCCCGTCTTCCTGGTCCTTGTCTAAGGATCTTCTGACCCCAGCAATGTGCCCATCACACACTGATTGACCGCATCTCTCTGGGCAATGACTCATACCACCTCTCTAACCAAGCTCCTCCTCCAAGTAAGTGGCCTTTTCTTCCCTGGACCCTAAATTGCTTCTTTTAAAAGAGGGTGACCTCAAGCACTGGTCCAGCTCTGATGGGCCCGGCGATTCCAGGAAGAGTACATCTCCAAAAAAGCACAGGCCCCACGTAAATGACAGGGAAACATGAAGGAGTTTACGAAGCCCGGCCAGCTCCAACGCCTGGAGAAAGGCTGTCGCTGTGACCTGCCCGGAGAGGCGTTCCGGCGCTCGCCAGGGGAGACCGCAGCTACCACTTCCGAAGCGGCTGCTCCGCGCAGGCGGGGTGATGATCCCGTGCAGCGGCCCCAGGCCGTGGTGAGGACTCAGTCCTTTCAGAGGCATGAGCGCGAGCAACTTCCAAAGGGCATGTCTGCTCTCACAGAAGAACCCAACAGGGAGCCGGTGGGACCCATATGTAGACTAACAACCATTACCCCACACACCCCTACACACAGTCGCAGTCCGCGTCGCCGGCTTCCGCAGTACCAACAGCTAACGCGAGCAATTTCGCGATTGTTATCGCGAGAGCAAAACCAGCTGCCCGGGGCTGGGCCGAGTCAGGGCTATGTCAGTCCCACTACGCAAGCGCAATTTTGCCAATGTACGAGCGCATTGGTGCGACATCCAGACGCCAAGCGAAGGCCGACTGCAGGAGTGCGCCTGCATTTCCTTCCCTTACTTCGGCCAATTCTCAGTTTCATTTCCGGTCTCCCATTTCCGGTCCTTTCATTTATCCTTCCGACAGAAAAATCGGTGGTGTGGTCAGTTGGAATCTTCGGTTCCCGTCAAGTCGGCCTGGCCTGAGGCCGCGAAGCTCACTGGGCTGGGGCCGCGCGGCCCCAGGGCGGCGCCCTCCCTCGCACCATGGTGAGTGGAGACGGGGCGTGAGGGAGGGGCGCGCGGGCGGGCTGTGAGGGCTGCCAGCCCCGTCTGGGGCGCTCGTGGCCTAGGGGCTCTGCCGGGCATCACCGCGGGCTTCAGGCTCCGTGGCTGTAGCTCGGGGATTCTCTGCGTGCCTCGCTTTAGCTGTCGCAAGTTGGAGGAGGAAACTGGGACCTCGGGAGCCGGGTTACCACCTCCGACAGTGTTTTAATCTCGACGAAGCGCTTTACCTCATCGATGGCGAAAACTAAGGCACAGAGAGGCTCAAGGACCGGCGCGGAGTCACAGTGTGTGGCGGGGGCCGGATTGTTTGTCCCCAAGTCCCATGGGGGGGTGAACAGCGGTTGTGACTATATGTTTCTGGACTGTTTGATTTATGTCTGTTCTCGGTCTCCCCCACAAGATATAAACCTCAGGAGGGTGCGGTGTTTTCACCGCTGCTTCCCTGATGTCTAACTGTCGCGCGTTGTAGGTGTTCAGTAACGAATGAATGAGTGCCATAGTGTTATTGCATGGGGCTGTGATCTCCGTGGTCTGGCGTGATTTATTGGCATCTTCCTTCGTTCAAGAAGTGCTCAGGACGTATAAATATGAGAATGCACATAGTGCTGGTACAAAGAAGATGCTCATACATGTTGGTTATTACCACATTTTCATGAAGTGCAGCCCCCAGAAGAAGCACACGACGCCGTAGTAAGGTTATAGAAGATGTATTGAAAGCCATTGTAGATTGATGAGCACAAGACCCGAGGAGGGAACCCAGTGGTCTAGAAGTAGCCCTTTCTGTGGGAGGATATGCTCCAAACCACTGCTTCACACTGCCCTGCTCAGCCTTGAGAATCTTCTTCTCTGAACTCTGGCAAGCATAGATAATCTCCTCTCTCCATTCCCTAGCAGGGATAAAGATCCATGCGCCTGGATATTTCTGGCTACAGGAGTTGCTAGGTGTTTTATATAACTGTCACCATCACACATTCGTATTTGTGGGCTTCCATCACCCTAGGCTCCTGCCCTATCACATTGATTCATTGTTTTAGGGGGAAGTTCCTATGAATTCCCTCAAAAGGCAGAACCATGGCCAAATTCCTAGCACCTAGCATGGTGTTTTTTTAAGCATGGAGCAGGCATTCAGAAACACTGAATTAAATAGTTAGAATCTGTAGGCATTAATGAAATAGGTAGGATGCAACTTAAGCCTTCAAGATGATGGCTTCCCCTGGGAGAGCCTCTCTGTTTTATTCCTTAGTAGATATTGTGTTCATTTATCCACCAAGCATTTGCCAAGTCTGTTTCTGTGTCCATTGAAAGGGAGGGTCAGAAAGGAGATTTAAATTGAACTTACTTTTGCTGAGCATTTGTAAACTGCATACCTAATGTCTTCATGCATTTATATCATTAAATCATCATGACATCTCTATGAGATAAGAGGTATGATACCTGTTGTGAAGATGGGGAAACTGAGGCCTAGAGAGACTACTTCTCAGGCATGGTCAGTGGAAGAGCCGGGAGTACAATTGAAGTCCCTGACTCAGCAAGTACTCTTTCTATTATACTACAACGCAGAAAACATGTTCCCTGCCTGACACTGTGTTTAAGGGATAGCCGGTTTGACAGTGCTGTGACAGTACCAACATAAAACTCACTTTGTAAAAGCCAGTCCTTTCTTCCTCAAATTCCACTTGCAGGGAATGGATAGTTGTGATGCTCGGTGGAAAGTATCATGGTAGGTATAAAGCCAGGCAAAGGGCAGCAGCCTACCTGGGAAGAAGGGGTCATGGAAGAACATTCTGGAGGGTGATGACACAGGTAAATTTTGAAGGATGAATGAGAGCCAGATCCAAGGAGGTGGGGTTAGTGGAGGAGTAAAGATTTTAAGTAGAGGGAGTAGCATAAATAAAGTCACAAGATTTGAACATCTTTAACTTTTTTTTGTTGTTACTGTATTCATACACTAGTTCAAGCATTCTGCTTGTGGTTGTGTCCTTTTGAAACTTTTCTCTAAAAGGTAAATGAAAAAAAAATATTTTAAACATGGGCATTTTTCTTCTCTTCTCTCTGCTTTTAGGCCCGAAACGCAGAAAAGGCCATGTAAGTATCAACTTGATTTTGTCTGTAGATTTTATGTAACTTAATTAGAGCTCTTTTTGTGTTTAGTCCTTTTGGTATGTGAGCCTTTGGTATATGTTTCTTTCTCTACACGTGTTAAAATAGTATTCCTATATTTGCCCATTTGTTTTCCCCATTAGTGTTTTCTGGCAGCTCCCAGAACTTAAACTGCATGAACACTCGTTCACCTGGAGATGGTGCAGGAGCTGTGAGAGTGGCAGCTGGGGCACCCCGCGATATTAGTCTTTTAACATCTGGATGTGTTGTTCACTACAGTGTATGATAAGTAGAGTTTCCCACAGTCCTTACATGCAGTGTAAATAAAATAGATACTCGGGTGTTCAAAAACACAAATGGCCTTATAAGCTCTACTCTTTGGAAGAGTAGATACTTCTCTGTGGATTCTTAATTGCTATATATGTATGAATGACATTAAATATGGTCATGAGCAGATTTACCCCATCCAAGAATTTGGGTGATAAGAAATTTGTGAGTAGGATCTAATAGAGTCCTCTCTATTCCTGGTAGGACGGCCTTAGCAAGATTTCGTCAAGCTCAGCTGGAAGAGGGAAAAGTGAAGGTTGGTGTAAATCTTCTTCATGAATTGTAAAGTGTCAAGAACAAATGTGGTAAAACTCCCTCCTGAGCAGGCTTCAAACTTCAAATCTTTCTATTTCTTGTCTATACTTGCTGGCACTCTTAGGAGTCTACACACGTGAATTTAAGGTGTAGGTCTGTAGCTGGGGCAGTGTGATGATCTGGCTGCTTGTTCTTCAGACTCCTCTGTAATGTGATGATTGGGTTCCCACGTTATCCCAGCTCTGTCTAATGTTGAATAATAGGAAGTGGAGAGGACTGTGGGCAGCATTTCTAAGCTGAAACCAGTGAATGATCTCAACTCATGGAGACTCAGCCAGGTTAGGGATAATATGTACCATTCTTTGAATATTTTTGTTTTGTTTTTTTAAATTATACACACACACACACACACACACAGTCGTGTGTCACTTAACAACGGGGATACGTTCTGAGAAATACATTGTTAGACAGTTGCGTCATTGTGTGAACATCATAGAGTGTGCTTACACAAACCTAGGTGGTATAGCCTGCTACACACCCAGGCTATGTGATACTAATCTTATGGTCCCCGTCGTATATATGGTCCATTGTTTACTGAAACATCCTTATGTCGTGCATATCTGTACATATGGTTATTCTAAACACCAATGACCATCATTTCTTTTTTCTATTGAGGTAATATTTGTTTATAACATAATATAAATTTCAGATGTATATCATTATATTTTGATTTCTGTGAAAACTATATCATGTTCACCATCCAAAGTCTAATCCGTTACTGTACACATGTGCCCTTTTACTTCTTCCCCCCCCTTCCTCCCCACTTCCTCTCTGATAACCACCAATCTAATCTCTGTGTTGTGTATTTGGTGGTGGTTGTTTTTTTTTTTTATCTTCCACATATGAGTGAAATCATATGGTATTTGGCTTTCTCCATCTGACTTATTTTGCTTAATATAATACCCTTAAGGTCCATCCATGTTGTCACAAATGGCAAGATTTCATCTTTTTTATGGCTGAGTAGTATTCCATTGTTTATGTATACCACATCTTCTTTATCCATTCATCTGTTGATGGGCACTTAGGTTGTTTCCAAGTCTTGGCTACTGTGAATAATGCTGCAATGAAGGGGTGCATATATCTTTTTGAATTAGTGTTTCATGTTCTTTGGATAAATAGGCATCAGTGGGATAGCTGGATCATATGGTAGTTCTATCTTCATTTTTTGAGGAATCTCCTTACTGTTTTCCAGAGTGGCTGACCAATTTACATTCCCACCAGCAGTGTTCAAGGGTTCCCTTTTCTCCACCTCCTCTCCAATACTTGTTATTTCTTGTCTTTTTAATAATAGCCATTCTGGGCCGGCCCCTGTGGCTTAGCGGTTAAGTGCACGTGCTCCGCTGCTGGCAGCCTGGCATCGGATCCCAGGGACACCGACACACTGCTTCTCCCGCCATGTTGAGGCCACATCCTACGTACAGCAACTAGAAGGATGTGCAACTATGCCATACAACTGTCTACTGGGGCTTTGGGGGAAAAAAACAAAAAGAAAAAAAAAATAATAGCCATTCTGATGAGTGTGAGGTGATATTTCACTGTAGTTTGGATTTGCATTTCCCTAATAATTAGTGATGTTGAACATCCTCTTATCTGCCTGTTGGCCATCTGTATGTCTTCTTTGGAAAAATGTCTGTTCAGATCCTCTGCCCATTATTTAATTGGGTTGTTTGGTTTTTTGGTTGTTGAGTTGTATGACTTCTTTATATATTTTGGATATTAACTACTTATTGTTTAGATGATTTGCAAATATCTGCTCCCATTGTTAGGTTGTCTTTTTGCTGTCTTGATGGTTTCGTTTGCTGTGCAGAAGCTTTTTAGTCTGATGTAGTCCCATTTGTTTATTTTTTCTTTTGTTTCCGACGCCTGAGTAGACATGGTATTCGAAAAGATCCTGCTAAGGCCAATGTCAGAGAGCATACCTCTGTTTTCTTCTAGGAGTTTTATGGTTTCAGGTCTTACATTCAAGTCTTTAATCTATTTTGAGTTAATTTTTGTGTATGGTGTCAGATAATGGTCTACTTTCATTTTTTTTCATGTGGCTGTTCAGTTTTCCCAACAATGTTTATTGAAGAGACTTTCCTTTCTCCATTGTATGTTCTTGGCTCCTTTGTCAAAAATTAGCTGTCCATAGATGTGTGGGTTCATTTCTGGGCTCTCAGTTCTGTTCCATTGATCTGTGTGTCTGTTTTTGTGCCAGTACATGCTGTTTTGATTGCTATAGCTTTGTAGTATATTTTGAAATCAGAGAGTGTGATACCTCCAGCTTTGTTCTTTTTTCTCAGCATTGCTTTGGCTATTTAGGGACTTTTGTTGTTCCATAGCCATCATTTCTTAAGGTAGTATAAATATGGCATGAAATGGATATAACCTAGTTTACTTAGCCATCTTTATAGTTTTGGACTTTTAAGTTGTTTATAGTGGTTCACTGTACCAGATACAGTACAATGAATGTTTTTGCCTGTGTAGCTGTTTCCTAAGGAGAGGTTGTGGAGTGGGGTTTAAGGCTCGATGAAGATCATCTGGAACTGGAACTTCAAGTGTATTTAGACCATTGGACATTTTAGGCTTCAGGCCTGAATCAGTTGAATGTTGCATGAAGCTTGTAACTTCATACAGTACTGTGGCAACATGTATATTTTGTTTCTCCTTAGGAACGAAGACCCTTTCTTGCCTCAGAATGTACTGAGTTGCCCAAAGCTGAGAAGTGGAGACGACAGGTACATTCTGAGTGAATCTGATCTTAGTAGAAGTAGCAAATCTGTCATTGCTTATTATCTAAATGACTCTTAAACCAGAATTCTAAGGATTTTTAATTACTGATTTTGAATTATATTTTTCCTCTGCTTTCAGACATATTCAGAAATCATGAAAATTTATTGCCTTTTATTTTTTTTTTTACAGATCATTGGAGAGATCTCTAAAAAAGTGGCTCAGATTCAGAATGGTAAGTTAGTCTGTCTACTTAAAGTGCTTGATTGTCAAATCCACACTTATACTTGGGAGCTTCAACACTCCTCTCTCAATAATCAATAGAACAAGTAGAAAATCAGTAAGGGACATAGAAGAACTAAACAATACTACCAATCTATTTGATCTAGGTCACATTTATAGAACACTCCACATAATAACACTCCACCCAACATCAAAGAAAACACTATTGTTTTTTAAATTAATTAATTCATTTTTTTGTTTGTTTTTTTGGTGAGGAAGATTGGCCCTGAGCTAACATCTGTGCCCATCCTCCTCTATTTTGTATATGGGGCGGCTGCTACAAGATGGCTTGATGAGTGGTGCATATGTCCACGCCCAGGATCCGAACCTGTGAACCCTGGGGCACCAAAGCGGAACGCACGAACTTAACCACTGCGCCACTGGGCTGGCCCCCAGAAAACACTATTTTTTTAAGAGCACATGGAACATTCACCAAATAGAATATATTCTGGACTATATAACAAATGTTCGCAAATTTAAAATAATTGAAATCATACACAATACGTTCTCTGATTATAGTAGAATTAATGTAGAAATCCACAACGGAAAGATATCTGGAAAATTCCTAAATATTTGGAAATTAAACAACAAACTTCTCAACAACCCATGTGTCAAAGAGGAAATCACAAGGAGATTAAAGAATATTTTGAATTGAATGAGAATGAAAACGTAATGTCAGAATTTAGGGGACGAAAGAAATTTATGACATTCAGTTAAAGCAGTGCCTAGATGAAAATTTATAGCATTAAAATAATAGAAAATAAGAAAGGTCTCAAATCAGTGATCTAAGCTTCTACCCTAAGAAACTAAAAAAGAAGAACAAATTAAGTCCAAAGTATGCCAAAGGAGATAGTAAGATAAGAGCAGAAGTTAGTGAAATTGAAAACAGAAGATGAATAGAGAAAATATATCAAAAGCTAGTTCTTTCAAACAATCGATAAAATTGATAAACTTCTAGTCAGACTAAAAAAAGATACAAATTACAAACATTAAGAATGAAATTGGGGGGGCCAGCTTGGGGGCGTAGTGGTTAAGTTTGCATGTTCCGCTTCAGATGCCTGGGGTTCTCAGGTTCGGATCCTGGACATGGAGTTACTCACCGCTCATTAAGCCATGCTGAGGCGGCGTCCCATATAGAAGAGCTACAACTCTACAACTATGATGCACAACTATTTACTGGGGCTTTGGGGAGAAAAAAGGAAAAATAAAAGGAAGATTGGCAATGGATGTTAACGCAGGGCCAATCACCCTCAACAAAAAAAAAGAATGAAATTGGGAACATCACTACAGACTACAGACTACAGACATTAAAAGGATAGTAAGGGAGTATTACAAACAATTTTCTGCCCATAATTCAACAACTTAGATGAACCAGGCCATTCCCTGAAAGACACAAACTGCCAAAGCTCACCTAAGAGAAGTGGTTCTTAGCCTGGGGCAATTTTGCCCCACCAGGGGACATTTGGAAGCATCTGGAGAAATTTGCTCAGGAAGATTCACCCTGAGCTAACATCTGTTGCCAATCTTCCTTTTTTTTTCCCCTCCCCAAAGCCCCAGTACATAGTTGTATATTGGGGTTGTAAGTCCTTCTAGTTCTATGTGAGCCACTGCCACAGCATGGCCACTGACAGATGAGTGGTGAGGTTCTGCACCCGGAAACCAAACCTGGGCTGCTGAAGTGGAGCGTGCCGAACTTTAACCACTAGGCCATCAGGGCTGGCTTAGCATCTGGAGAAATTTTAATTGTTACAACTGGAGGGGTCCTACTGGCATCTGGTGGATAGAGGCCAGGGATGCTGCTACGTATCCTATGATGCATCCTACAAAGAATTATTTGACGCACACGTCAGTAGTGCTGCTGTTTAGAAACACTGTTCAAGAAGAAATAGAGAACCTGAGCAGTCCCATATCTATTAAGGAAATTGGATTCATAGTTAAGAGCTGTCCAACAGATAACTCCAGGCCCATTTGGCTTCACTGGTCAGTTCTACCAGATATTTAAGGAATACCAGTGCTACACAGTTTCTTCCATAAAATTGAAGAGGGAACACTTCCTAATTCATTTTATAAATTTTAGTGTTTTAGTGTTACCTTGATAGTAGAATCAGAAAAAGACATTACAAGAAAAGAAAAACTACAGACCAATATTCCTTATGACTATAGACATAAAAATTCTCAAAAAAATATTAGTAAATCAAGTCTAGCAATTTATAAAAAGGATAATACATCACAACCAAGCGGGATTTATCCTTGGAATGAATGGCTGATTCAGCATTCAAAAATTAATTAATATAATTCATTATATCACCCTTCTAAAGAAGAAAAACTGTATAATCATCTCAGTAGATGCAGAAAAACTATTTGACAAAATTTAACATTCATTCATGATAAAAACTCTCAGCTAACTGGGATTAAAAGGGAACTTTTTTACCCCGATAAAGCAATTCTACAAAAAAACCTATAGCCAGCATCATACTTAATGGTGAAAGATTGAATGTTTTCCTACTAAGATCAGAAACAAGGTAGAGAGAACCATTCTCACCGCTTCTATTCAGTATTGTACTGGTATTCCTAGCCAGTGCAATAAAGCGAGAAAAGGATATAAAATGCACACAGATTGGAAAGGAAGAAATAAAATGCCGTATTCTCAGATGACATAATTTTCTATGTAGAAAAATCCCGAGGACTCTATGGAAAGATTTCTCCAGTGAATAATTGAGTTTAGCAAGGTCACAGAATAGAAGGTCAATACACAAAAATCGATTCTATTTTTATATACTAGCAATGAACATATGGAACTAGAATATTTTTTAAAAAGTGCCATTTACAAAAGCATCAAAACACAAGAAATATTTAGATATAAAGCTAACAAAATATATGTGTAATCTGTATGCTGAAAACTATGAAACACTGATGAAAAGTATCAAAGAAGACCCAAAGAAATGGAGAGATATACAGTGTTCCTGGATAGAAAGACTCAACATAGGAAAGATGTCAATTTCTTTTCTTTTCAACTGCTGTCACAATCAAAATCCCAACAGGATTTTTTGGTATTGTTGACAAACTGTTTCTAAAATTTAAATGGAAAGGCAAAGGAACTAGAATAGTCAAAATAATTTTGAAAAAGAACAAAATTGGAGTATTCATACCACCTAATTTCAAGATTTAACATAAAGCTATAGTATTAATGTGGTATTGATGAATGATAGACACATAGACCAATGGAACAGCATAAGAGGTTCAGAAGTAGAGCCACACGTATGTGGTCACTTGACTTTTGACAAAGGTACGAAAGCAACTCAGTGGAGAAGGGGAGAGGATACTCTCTTGCAACAGCCGTACGGTGTTTCATTTCAACATATCAGGGTTTGTGACTTGTTTTCCCTCCTTCTCTGTGGTGGGATGCCCCAGCTTCTCCCAGCTCTGGGCTGCCATAGACAACACCTCAGCAAACTCCCTCGTGCACATCCCTTTAAGTGAGTCCCCTAGGCTTAGTTCTCAGGCTATGGTCTTTGCCAAAAGATTTTCCCGTGTAGCGTCACATTGCTTCCCTGAGAAGACTACATCCACACAGAATGCTGCCAGCCACGAGTGCCTGTGCCAGCCTCACCGCATCTTTGCTGGCGTTGGATGCTAAGTCCCCTACCTCCACGGTTTTGCTATTTTTCATTGTTGTGTACATGGAACTACAGGATTGTTTCAGTTTATATTTCTTCGGTTGCTAATGAGGGTGAAGTTTTTTTGAGGATTTTTTTCCCCTATGCTGGTGGGAACTCTGTTTATAATCCTTGCCCTTTCATTTATTTGGGTATTGATGGTTTTTATTATAAATTTAAATGATTATTTTCATGTTGTATACCTTTGTAGGTGTTAACATTCATTTTTAAAGGTATGACATGGAGTGGTATTTTGAAGAAATGATCGTTTTTGTTTTCTAGCTGGTTTAGGTGAATTCCGAATTCGTGACCTGAATGATGAAATTAACAAACTGCTAAGAGAGAAAGGACACTGGGAGGTCCGGATCAAGGAGCTAGGCGGTCCTGATTATGGAGTAAGTGAGCAGCATCCCAGTGGCTCTTGGGCATGAGCTAGTGAGCTTTTTGGCAGGCTGTGTCGGTCCTGTCTAACTTTGCATCCCCTGTAGCTCCCAGCCCATGCCTGCCAGAATAGGCACTCGAGAAATGAAAGAAGACTGACAAGTGCCTGTTCCATGTGGACAGGAAACCTGTGAAAAGGATGGGTTGGATAAGGCTTAAAGACTTCACAGCACAGGCCTCAGAGCAGACTGGGCACCTGCCTTTACCAGCCAGATGTTCTTGAGTAAGCCACTTAATCTCTCTGGGCCTCTTGTTTAAAATGACCATGACCCTCTCAAGTCCTCTGAACTCCTCGGGAATTGGGGCAACCGTTATTGGATCTTTGCCTGAAGGATCCTTGGGGACACTCCATTCTTTGTTTTCTTTGGACCCTTAGAAATGCAATGCTCTAGAACGGTGCCTTTCAAGCTTTTAGGACCACGACGCATTGTAAAACACACACAAATTTTATATTACAACCCAGTGCACACAAAATGTACTGAAAAAATACTTAGTATGTGTTGATGCACTTTTATATTTTCTATTCTGTTCTATTTTGGTTTTTAAAAAATTGGTGATTATGACCCACTTAATTAATTTCATGACCCACTACTGGGTCTTGACTTTGAAAAATACTGCTCCAGATCCTGCCCCGTCTACCCATTTGTGAAGAGATCTACTTCAGTTCATTTGAACCAGGAGTATCTAGTCATTGGGCTCTAATATATTATGTAAGAAACACATGCACTGTTTCTACGTGATTGTCTTTTTACCGTTATGAAAGTCTTAACACAAAACCATAATTCTCACTTTAGTACCTGGCATAAAAATGAAGCATTCATTCTTCCTGCTGCAGTAGGAAAGGGCCTCACATTTCTTGAGTACCTGTTCTGTTCTAGCCATTGCACTAGGAACTGTCTTTTTTTTTTTTTTGATTTTTTTTTTTGTGAGGAAGATCAGCCCTGAGCTAACATCCAATGGCAATCCTCGTCTTTTTTTGCTGAGGAGGATTGGCCCTGGGCTAACATCTGTGCCCATCTTCCTCTACTTTATATGGGATGCCGCCACAGCACAGCTTGACAAGCGGTGCATCGGTGCGCACCCAGGATCCGAACCTGTAGACCCCGGGCCGCTGCGGTGGAATGCACGCACTTAACTGCTGTGCCACCGGGCCGGCCCTGGAACTTTCTCATTTAACCTCTTCAGTTGTTCTGTGATGGTGATTTTGTTTCCTGTCAGACTGCTTTAAAGTAATGCAGAAGTTTATTAACCCTCCTAGAAAAGCGACCTCAGAAGCATGACAAAGTTGATATGTAAGATATTCTTAAGTTCCACCACCCAAAGTCAATATTAATGTTTTTGTATATTTCCTTCTAGACTTTTTTTAATGCTTAAGAATTTTGTTTCCATTTTCTATGTATAAAAGTTAATACATTTAGAGTTTCAGTTTTACAAGATGAGAAGAGTTATGGAAGTGGATGGTGGTGATGGTTGCATGACGTAAGGAATGTATTTAATACCACTGACCTTTACACTTAAAAATGATTAATGGTAAATTTTATCTTATGTGTATTTTACCACAATAAAAAAAAGAAAAAGTTAGTTATCATTAAGTTCAGAAAAGTGTAAAGAAGCAGAACAGCATCAGTGCTGATCCCATTGCTTAGGTGCAACTACGTGCATGTTGCCTTCCATTGTTTTTCTGTGAACTCCATAATAGAGATCATACTGTATATATGGTTTTGGTTCTTAATTTTGTATTTTTTTCCAAAATGGTAACATTGGTTATATAAATAGTACATACTTTTATGCAAAAAAAGAAAACATAAAAAGAATATAAAAATTGTAAAATATTAAAAATTTTATAAATATTATATTCTATGTATGATATAGAATATATTATATATTTTCTAACTACCCCAAAATAACTGCTATTGACATTTTCTATTTATCTTTCTAGCATTTTTTCTATGCATATATATGTTTATTTTTACAGAAATTTGTTCCTATTGTAACGGTATGCTTTGTTCACTTAATAGTATATGAGGAGCATATTTTCATGTCAATATATAATCGTTTATATAATTGTTTTAAAAAGCATTTTTGAGCTCACAAAAAGTTGCAGAAAGAGTACAGAGAATTCCTACATACCCTTTATACAGACTTAACCTGTTTTTAACATTTTGCTGTATTTGCTTTATCATTTTCTATGTGTACCTTGAGATTTTTTTTTTCTGAACCATTTGAAGTTTAATTACACCATGCTCCTTTATCCCTTAATACTTAATAGTTCTATGTGTATTTCCTAAGAAGAAGAATGTTCTGTTATATAACCATGGTAGTTATCAAGTTTAAGACATTTAACTTGAATACAATCATTTTATCTAATCCACCAGCTGTTTTATCGATTTTCCCAATAATGTCCTTAATAGCATTTCCTGCTCAAGTACAGGACCTAGTCCGGGGTCACATACTACATGTAGTTGTCGCCATCATCATTTCTAATGGATAGATTTCCATCTTTTTTTTTTTTTTTTTTTAATTTTTTGTTTATTGCAGTAACATTGGTTTATAACATTGTAAAAATTTCAGGTGTACTAGATTTCCATCTTCTGGATGTATGTGTCATTTGTCTTCTACTGGTTGTCATTTAGGTTGTTTGCAATTGTTTTTTTAAGCTTTTTCACTTAACATCATATCATAAGCATTTTTCTAAGTAAATATAAGAGTTTCATAAGAACCATCATTTTTAAGGTATAAAATATATTCCATCAGTGACTGCTGTAATGTAATTAAATCTTCCTTCTGCTGTTAGGTATTTAGGATGATTTTTACGGGATAAAAAAATGTACCTAAATATTTCTGTGTACATAAATATTTTCCATGTTTAGCATTATTATCTTAAAATATATTTGCAAACAGAAATAAATAGTGGGTTTAAGGATCTGATCCATTTTCTCTTTTTCCTTCCCAATAAGAAAATTGGCCCTAAAATGCTGGATCATGAAGGGAAAGAAGTCCCGGGAAATCGAGGTTACAAGTACTTTGGAGCAGCAAAAGATTTGCCTGGTGTTAGAGAGCTATTTGAAAAAGAACGTAAGTAATTACTATTTGTGAAGGTTTTAGCCTCTAATTCTCGGTAATCATCATAACAGTAGACATGCTATATGCTAGGTGCTTTTCTTGTGTTATTTTTTAGCTGCACAACAGCCCTGTAGTGTCAAGAGTTACTGTTCCCAGATTTTAAATGAGAAACCTTAAGCACCGGGAGCTGAAGTCACAGACCCAGGACACAGAGTTGGGGCTGGAAAGTGAATCTAGAATTGACTGGTGCCAGATTCCACACTCTTTGCACACACCAGTTTCTCAGTCTGAATGAGGAGTTTCCTTATTTGAGGTTTCCCAGAATTATTGGGGCAGGCTCTGAAGTTCATTGAATCAGGTTCCTGTTATAGTTACCTATTATTGGTTGAAAAAACTATTACTGAAGTACAAGTAAAACCTCGGGCCATACCCCGATGTATGAAAATGGAGAGGAGTGGAGCTGCACCGTGTAACTCCAAGCCAGGCAGCCTCACCACTCCTGCCTTCTCCCTCCGTGGCCTGGGAACTTCAGCCAAATGTTGGCCTTCCAAAATGCAGTTGGAAAGCAGTGGTCTGGAGTTTTTGTGTATTTTAATTTTGCCTTCTAGGAAAGTAGTCTAAACACTTTATAGAAAAATGTGTGAAAAGCAGAGAATGATACCAGTATTCTCACCACTGTTGGCATTCTGCTCTATTTCCTTCTAGTCAGTTTTTCTGTTTGTTTAAAAATATAATTCTACCTTTATTAAACTCTGCTTATTGTTAAATTCATTATGCCAAAACTGGTTTTGCATGGGTCATTAACATCACTTAAAAATAATTCAGGGGCCGGCCCCATGGCTTAGCGGTTAAGTGTGCGCGCTCCGCTACTGGCGGCCCGGGTTCGGATCCCGGGCGTGCACCGACGCACCGCTTCTCCGGCCATGTTGAGGCCGCGTCCCACATACAGCAACTAGAAGGATGTGCATCTATGACATACAACTATCTACTGGGGCTTTGGGGAGAAAAAAGGAGGAAGATTGGCAAAAGATCTTAGCTCAGGGCTGATCTTCCTCACAAAAAAAAAAAAAAAAAATTCAGAGTTTAAATATCATGCCATAGACTATGAAAGCAATATAATTTTATTACAGAGAAGTTGTAAAATACAGAAAATCAGAAAAAAACCACCCACATTTTCACAACTTGTAGATGACAATTGTTGACATGTTGAGGCATATTTCCTTCCAGTTTTTAAAGGGTTATGGAGGGGGGCTCCTAAGTTGAGGTTATTCTATACATTTTTTCCAAATTTATTTTTATTTATTCTAGTTGTAGATTTTTTTTTTAAACAGGAAAGTGCATCAGTCAGTCTTAACGAGTATAATTCAAACAGCACAGTCTCCTTGGCTCCCCCATCCCTATGCCCTTGCTGGAGACAACCAGTAACCATTATTCTCTGGTACGTTCCCTTCCAGGCCTTTTTCCATGCACTTCCGTGCTTATTTCATCAGCTAAACTTCATTAGTATAAGTGACAGATGACTCAACCCCAGTTCACTTCAGGCAGAAAAACGAATTTATTGGCTCACATAACTGACAAGCCCACGGGTAGTTTGCCTTCAGGAATGGCTGATTCCAGGTCACATTTCTCCATGTTGCAATTTTGATTTCCACTGTATGAGCTCTTTTCTTTGTCTAGTTCTCTGCTTGTGGTGGCAAGTCATCCATCTTTGACTTACATTTTGTCCTCTCTCATTGAGAGATTTTTCCCCCAAGCGGTTCAAGAAAAATTCCCAGAATTGAGTCTACTTGGCTTTGATTGGATCATAGTCCAATCCCTGATCATAGAACCAGTCCCTATGGCTGGGAGGAATGCAGTGCTCCAAGCCAGCCAGATTTCAGTTCTGTACCCTGTCCTGGGTGCAGCCAACATGGTCACGGGACGTGAACCCAGAGTGGCAGAGGTGTGGACAGAGCTGCTGTTACCAGCATCAGGGCCTGCTGAAACACAGTGGCTCTCCCATACCTGTTTTGTTGTGATGTCCATTGATCCTCCCGTAGTTCTACTTAGAGCTCTGTTAGTAGAGGTGAAGGATTAAAGAGTATCACGGTATGGATTAATCATACTTTATGTAATCATCCCTCCATTGGTAGAACTTGAGTTCTTTCCAGTTTTTCATAAATGTAAAATTTTTGCTGATCTGATGGGTGAAAAAAATATTATTTTTATTTCCCTGATTACGAAATAAATTGATAATTCAATTACTAATTGAAATTTTCATACATTTGAATTGTTTCTTCTTAAAATATCAGGTTTTATTCTTTGACCAATCTGTTGGGTTGTCATTTCTCTTTTGATTTTCAAAAATTACTTAAATATTCTAACTAGTAATCCTTAGTCTGAAAATATTTTCTTCAGGACTTTCTCATTTATCTTTTTTGTTTGTTTATAGTTTCTTTTGTCTCATCCATATACTTTTGTTTTCCCATCATATTTTTTTCATTAAACATTATGGCGTTTCCTCTGTTATGAAAGCACCTTGTGAAACAGCATTATTGGGGCTGCAGGATACCCCATCCCACACAAACCCTGCGATTTACAATCCTAAGGTATTCCAAGTTTTCACTACTATGTGAATAGTGCCGTGATGCACGTCTCTGCCCATAAAGCTTTGGCAGCTTTGTTTTTAATTAGGATAGATTCTTTTTAAATGGACTATATGGGTCAGAGTTTTCAACATTGATCTAAAAAAGGGTAGTACTGCCTACATAATCCTATTGCTAGTACAGAGAAGTGCCTGTCTCATGGTATGTTCATGAATACACGTGCTGTATGGCTGTATAACATTGTATAGGGAGAAGGCTTGAGTGTGATTGTGATGAGAAATTCAGCTAAGTTGGTGCTGTTTCTTTTAGCTCTTCCTCCTCCAAGAAAGACTCGTGCTGAGCTCATGAAGGCGATCGATTTTGAATACTATGGTTATCTAGATGAAGACGATGGCGTTATTGTACCTTTGGAGCAAGAATATGAAAAGAAACGTAGGTCTCCGGGCATTTCACTTCATCATCGATGGCATCTAGTTTCTGTTCTCTCCTTTGAAAACGGGGTTTTCAATAGTGCTTTATGCCAGGAGGGACTTTGCTTCGTTGCTAGTGGTCTTTAGAGGAAGTGGTCTGCTGGTGACCTAACCTCCAGTAACTGTGAGGCAGTCAGGTCTGTGCTGGGCCAGAAGCAGCAGGTTGGGGAAGCCACAAGAGCAGCATCTGATGTGGCCCCTGTCCACCGTGGTTCGCCATCGAGATTCCTGCCCAGACTGGCCTTTCTTGAAATCATGAAATGGTGCCCACTTAAGTAGCTTTTAGATCTGCTTTAAACACAGCTAATGGGTTGTCAGTGTAGAGCAAGACGGTGTCCCTCTCTGAGTGCCTCCTCCATGCCAAGCACGGTGCTAAGCCTTCTGCGGACATTCTTTTGAAGCCTTATGACAACCCTGTGAGGCATCAGTTAGTGCTGATCGTCATGTGGTGTGTCGAGCTGGGGCTTTGGGAGCAGGTGTTCAGGAGTCTGAGCTCTTTTCCTGCATGCTGTACCACTGTCTCCATCTTCGTGGGGGCTGGCAGGAAGCCACTCAGGGTGTTGAACTTGGGGAGCGTCTGGGGACATCCCCTAAGAAGCTGCCTTGTAGCTGTTGTAAGACCATGCTGCTCCTCACATCCGATTCCCACCCCGCTGGGCACAGTGAAGGGTGTCCCTTTCCAGATGGGACATCTTGGCCTTGCCCTGTGTGGTGTCTAAAGCTTATTTAGAGACCAGAGTAAATAACACCTGCTCTCCCCTGTCTTCAGTCAGAGCTGAATTAGTGGGAAAGTGGAAAGCAGAGCGAGAGGCCCGGCTGGCAAGAGGAGAAAAGGAGGAGCAGGAGGAAGAGGAGGAAGAGACCAACATCTATGCTGTTACCGAGGACGAGGTACTGGGTGGGCAGCGGGGGTCCCCCTGGCACTGCCTTCTGCTCGAGCCCTGAAGCCTGGGCCTCAGGAGAATTGGCTGGAGTGGTGGGAAGGAAGCTTGGCTTATAGACAGGGGATCAGGGTCAAAGCCCCGCTCTGCCCCTACCTCAAGATGAGGCCTCAGCCTCTCCTGGAAGATGGGTGTGAAGATCACCTCCCAGGATCACAGGGAGGGTTCCAGAAAGGAATGGCTATGAGAGCACTTGGGAAACTGTGCTTTACACCAGGATTACTTCCTTGTTTCTTAGAGACAGGCCCTCCAGATGATACTGGAATTGGATTTATAAACACATTTGAAGCCGTATGAGTTTTAGCCCATGACCTCATTGTTTCTTTTTAAATGGCTGTGCCAGTAGCTCTTCTGTGGTTTTAACACCCCCATTTTACAGACGGAAACTAGCCCAGAGCAGAGAAGGGACTTACTCAGAGGGTCACAGTTGGGGATGGAGCTGTGATCCCTGCCTCTCAGGCAGAGCCTCCTGGCTCCTGCCTCCTCTGCAGGGCCTGGTGTGTGCACGCCTCCTCCCTGGATAGGTCCAAAATGGAGCTGATTTGCTGGACTGAGAAAGGGAAGGGGAATCACGCATGCATAGACAATGGGTCAGGTTTTAGTGAGAAGCTTGCCATGACATCACTGGCAATGAAGCAGGCTCAGAGAGGTTTAGTGCCTTAGTTAACATCACACAGGATACAGCAGACCTGAGGTTCATACTCTGGTCTGGCTGATGAGCAGTGGAGCAGTGATGCATTTGAAGCAGGGTGGCAGCATGCCCTAGCAAGATTTTCTCTAGGTGCAAATATCTGTTTGCTTTTTTAGCAGATATTTGTTTAGTTAGTGGCTCCTGTGAGCCAGGCCCATGCTGGGGCATGGCAGTGAACAAGCCCTGCTGTGGCTCAGAGTCCAGTGGGAGACAGTTCAGTAAGCAGACACAGTGGAAAACGGCAGCCATGACGGGCTCTGAGGTAGCAGCGTGGTGCAGGGAGAGCCTATGCAGGCCTTCCTGGGGAGGTGACCCTTCAGCTGAGATCTGGAGGACAAGGAGGAGTTAACCAAGTAGACAGACGGTGAGAGAAGAGTGTTCCAGGCAGGGGGAACTGTGTGCCAGAGGACACCGCGGGCGTGTAAGAGGCGGGTGACCGGCAGTGTGGGCTGTTGGGTGTGAGAGGAGGTGGGAGAGCGGCGCGAGGTGGGATGAGCGAGGACCTGGCTCCATGGCGAAGAGAGGTTTTCTTTATTGTGAGAGCAAGGGGAAGCTACTAAAGGATTTTTTTTTTTTTTTTAATAATTATAGATTTACAGCAAGTTGCAAAGGTAATACAGAGAGGTCCTGTGTGTCCTCCACCCAGTTTCCCCCACTGGTTACGTCGTATGTAGTTATCGTACAGTACCAGAACTAGGAAATGCAGTTGGTGTAATGAGTGTGTAGAGTTCTGTGTCTTTTATCATGTGTAGGTTCGTGTAACCACCATTGCGATCAAGAAACAGAATTGTTCCCCCCTTGAGCTGCTCCTTTACAGTCACACCTCGCCCTCCACTGCTATCCCTCACCCCTGGCAAACTCTAATCTGGTCTCCATCTCTATACTTTTGTCATTTCAAGAATGTTTTATAAATGGAATCACACTGTGTGTCACGTTTTGAGGTGGCCTTTACTCTCAGCACAGTGCCCTTGAGATCCACCAGAGTTGTTGAATTCAAGAGTTCCTTCCTTTTTGTTGCTGAGTAGTGTTCCATACACAGAAAAGTACGTAAGTCATAAGTGTTCAGGTCAGTGATTTTTCACGAGGTGAACGCACCCATGCAGCAAATAGCAGGTGAAGAAATGACATGACTAGCACCTCAGAAGCTTGCTCCTGCCCCCGGGTGTCATTCTCCGGACCTCTAATAACCCTTGAATTTCCACCTGTTTCTGAACTTCATCTATCAGTGGAATCATGCATACTCTTTTGTGTCTAATGGTCATGGGTATTTGCTTAGTGTCCAGTTTGGGGCTATAACCAGTAGGGCTGCTGTGGACTTTCTTGCTCATTGCTGTTGTTTGAGTCGCCATTGAGGAGTGGAACTTCCAGATCATAGGGTGGGCATGTGTTTAGCTTCAGTGGATATAGCTGAATAGTTTCCCAAAGTGGACCACTTTCACTCCTACCAGCAGCATCTGAGAGCTTCCACCACAGGGTTTCTCGCCAGCTCCCCTGGCAGCTGGTGTGGGGAGAGGATGGCGCGGGGCATCTGGCACTGGCACAGTGGACCCAGCACCTCATGGAGTCCTCTCTCCTCACATTCCCAAGGCCATGTTATTTCTGTAGGTTATTAGTCATTGCTGTTGACTCATATGCAGCTTCTGAGTTGATCTTTTTTCTATGTATGGCACATTGTTAAAATTTAATTTGAAAAAATAGATAATGTATTCACAAGATTCAAAAACCAAAAAGTATATAAAAATGTTCAACGAAGATTCTCTTTCATAGCCCTGTCCTCCATCCACCGAGTTCTCACTGCTGTCCCTAGTTTCTGTTCTTATTTTCTTTCTTCATGCAGAAGGTAGCATAGTATACACAGTGTTCTGTTGCTTTTTCTCCTTAACGACGTGTCTTGGGAGTCTTTCTGTGTGAGTGCAGATCTTCCTCTTTCCTTTTTTTCCCTCTCTACAGCTGCCGAGTAGTGCATTTTCTAGTGGTACCAACGTTTATTTAATGGGCTCCTACTCACGGACTTTTGGTTGTCCTCTGTTTGTAGTCTGATGAGGAAGGCAGCCAGGAGAAAGGAGGGGAAGACGGGCAGCAGAAGTTCATCGCTCACGTCCCGGTGCCGTCTCAGCAGGAGGTAGGGTAGAGGCTGGGACTCCCTTGCGGGTGGAGCTTCTCAAGTGCTGGGGGCCTTGCTTCTGAAGGAGACCACAGAGTGCTTTAGTGGGTTTTCTTTGTCCTTCCCATCCATTAGGGCAGCTCTGACTCCTGACCACAGGGCAGTGGTCACTGTGCTCATAATGGGGTGTGGAATCCAGAGAAGGCAGGATTTCATCTGCTTTAGAGGAAGCTGACACACACTCTGTTGTTCACATGCTGCCAGTGGGAGAGTGGGACTCTTGGAGACCACTCTGGATGTCGGGCTGCTCCGTGGCCTCTCTCACGGGGACTCCCTCCTGGCTAGGTTCCGGCAGGGCATAGAGGGCTTTGCTGGGAAGTGAAGCATGAGCCCTTTACTCTTGCTGTCCACAGATCGAAGAGGCACTTGTTCGAAGGAAGAAGATGGAACTCCTCCAGAAGTATGCAAGTGAGACCCTGCAGGCCCAGAGTGAAGAGGCCAAAAGACTCCTGGGATATTAGGGCCAAGCTGGGACACTCCTTGGGGTCTGGAAAACTGCCGGGAGTTCTTCATCCCCCATTGGCACTTGCGTTAACTCACAGGGCTCTGCCACCCAGGGACTGCAGATGGGCAGGCCTGCTCCGCGAGGCTTCCTGCTGCTTCCTACCATTCATTCTTCTCTTACCTTTTCTTACCTCATCTTCCGATCTGAGGGAAGGGTCTGCCCTGTGCCTCCCTGGCAGACTGTATATGTACCAAACACTTCAGCCATCGCCTTGGTACAAATGTTTGCCTCCTATATGAACTCACTTATTTTTCTCCTGAGTGTGTAAAACAGGCTGCTAACTGGCTGCCTGTCAGTGTTTTATTTAGCCCTCTACTGTCATTTGGTGGGCAAGGCGATCAATTAGTGACTACCATTAAAAATTTGCAGTTTTTCCTAAAAAGACAGGATTGTAACGCCTCTTGAAAAATCAGAGAATTTGTCAACCCTGAGCCCACATCCCACATATCAACAGCTAGCCAGAGCTGTCCCTTTTGGGCTGGGCATCACTCCCAGTTCTCCATGGCCCACTCAGCCTGCCTCACTCCGTCCTTCCTGAGTGGCAGGAATTTGAGTTTGCTACTTCTGTTTTATAACTGGTTCTGCAGAAAGCTGTTTTTATTAAAGATTTTTATGTGAAAGGGAAACCCCCACGTCTGCAGCTTGTTCCCTAGGCTACCTATACTGAGGCGATGGCTGCATTGGGAGTGAGGTTCAGAATCACTGCAAGGGACAGAGTCCTGAAACACACAGATGTGGGACGGATGGGACCAGTCCCGGGCTCCGCCTGGGTGCCGAGGTGGGTGGGCAAAGGACAGGGCTACCGGGGGCAGGGCCTGCAGTGCTGGCCAGTGTGAAAAGCACACCGTGGGCGCCCGGGAAGCGCGAGCTGAGTCCAGACCTGCCATTGGAGCTGGGTCTCTTCTTTCCAGTGGGGCAACCGACAGCAGAGGCTGCAGCCTCCAGGCCGTGTGTGTAGGGACCCCCCAAGTTCGGGCGGGTCCTGGGGGTGTCTGGGAGTCAGCATCAGGACCAGGTGGTTTTCCTTTGGGTCCAGGGCCCCAGGTCGGGCTGTTTGTGAACAGGAACCCCTGCGTGGAGAAGCCCATCACACAGCAGGTGGGTGGGGGATGGTCTGCCTGCGTGGGAGCAGCACATTCTGGAAATGGCAGAGCCCTGTGTGGCTGGGGGTCAGGGGAGAGTGCAGCTGGGCCGAGGAAGGTCCTGGCAGGCCTCCTGAAGGAGACAGGGCAGCAGGGAGCCGTGCAGAGGTCTGAGCAAGGGAGCCACCTGGTCAATGTGTGACTTGCTATAGGAAGCTCCCTGCAGCCAGGTGTGGAGAGGAGTCAGGTGGAGACGGGGCAGAGGCTGGGTTGGGCAGGGAGCGGCCGTGGGGAAGGTGACTGAGGATGGACTTCAGAGCTGATGGGAGCTCAAGTCCCATGTGCTGTGAGGGTAAGGGTAGGGGACGTGACTGGGGCAGAGGCTGGCTTCCCTGAAGGAAGGGCGGGTGGGGTCCTCCCTCAGCGGAGCCCCTGGGGGAATGTGTGCAGGGAGCAGGGAGGGGTAGAGGTTGGAGCTTTGGGAGCCCCCGGGGGAGGGACAGGGTCAGACTCAGCTCTGGGACCCAGCACTCAGCCCGGCCTGAGTTGGGGGCTCAGAAGCAAACTTAGTGGAGGCTTTGCGTGAGTCCCTTTGGGCCCCTGCCTCAGTTTCCCTGTTTTCAAGTCCAGGACTGGACCTGATGCCCTCTGAGTTTGCCCCAGTGTCTGGGCAATCCCATGGTGTGGGCAGAGGCAAGGGAGGCCCCTCAGGATGGCCTGGCCCTTGTCTGAGCCTCTGGGAGGTGTGGCGGGGCCCAGCTCAGAAGAGCCCGGTTACGGGTTTCCTTCCAAGGGGCACGGGTGGGCTTGGGGCCACCTTGCTTTCGATGAGAGCAGGAAATTCAAACAACAGGCGTTTCTTCTCCCTGGAAAAGATGGTTGGCAAGTGCCTGGAGTGCAGCCCATCTGGAATGTCCAGGACTCCAGGCCTTCCTCATGCAGTCGATGGAATTCAGCAGGCGTCTAGGCACCAGGGACAGAGACAGGAACGGGAGCCCTGCTCCAGCCCTTCAGTTTGCAAAGCCCCTCCCCACCAGGGATCTCATTGTGGCTTCCCGGGATGCAGGCAGGACAGGAAGCCATGTCCCACACCTGAGGAAACCGAGGCTCTGAGTGGAGAAAGGACCTGCTCAAGGTCATACAACTAGTCAGGCTCCTGGGATTTGAACCCCCATGATGTCAGTGTCTCAGAGGAGGGCTTGGCAGGGCCGGTGCAGTACCACCTAGCCACCGTGAGCAGCCATGCCATGCTCGCCTCATCTTGTCCCCATTTCCGCAGCAGCCCCCTTCTGTGAGTGACCAGGAACAGACCCCAGATTATCTCGGTGGGCTATGGATTCATGGGCTTCCTGGTGCCAGGGGCCCGATTCAGGCACTCAGCAGTTCTTTGAGCACCTACTGTGTGCCTGGAACTGTTCTGTGCTGGGAATAGAGCGGTGAGCAGGGCCAGTCTGGCCCTCATGGGGGCTCTCAGATCCTGACTTGGAATAACAGCTCCAATTTGTTGTGGCTGCAAGGCTTGGGCAAGGCACTCCCAACCCCTGAGCCTGTTGGCTCACCTGGAAAAGTATTATTTGGAAGGATGGTAACACCTCCCTCACAGGGCTGTAGGAGAAGTATAAGGGATGCTGGGCCTCATGCCCCCAGCAATCATCAAATAGTACGCCCCAACACAAACGCAGCTGAAGGAACCTGGGGCCAAGAGGGGTGCAGTGACTTGCCCAAGGTCATATAGGTATCTCTGTCAGAGACAGGACCCAACCCAAGCTCCTTCCTGCCCCTTAGGCACTGACTGCTTCTCTGCCCGGGGGATCCCACATTGATCTGGGGCAGAGAGGTCTTAACAGGGTTCCCGGCAATGGACGGGCAGTGTATAGGCCCGTCCACCGACCCCAGATCTGAAGAATAGTCAGGGGAAGCTGCCCAGGCAGGTGGGACCGACCATCTGCAGGAACGTGGCCACCTGAGCCAGCTCTGGGATCAACGGTAAGAGAACCAATCTTGGGCAACATTGGCTTGTTACAGAAATCTGTTTAATGGTTTAGGAATGTGTACACTCTGGCTCTGCTAAGTTTCCATAAAGGCAACTTTTCCATGTTTTAAAAAATAGATTTGATATAAAGATTTATATATTCATAAATAGGTAATGTGAAAAATTCCCAAATGCAAACGGCATCCTTGGGCTGGCTGAGGCCCTCCTGTCCCCCAGCAGTCCAGGCCGGCAAGGCTTAGAGGGTCCCTGAGGCCCCAGCCCCGGAAGTCCTCAGGGGGAAGAGAGTAACTGAATTCAATATGAATCAGGAGCTTCCTCCAGCTCCATTCCTGATGGGGCCTGTGTCCTTGGGGCCAAAACTCCCCTTCTAGGAGGTCCTCTTCAAGGAGCCCCCACTCTGGCTTAGGAGTCAGGATCGTGTCCCTCCCCGCCCCACGCCTCTTCCTGGGAGTATAAACACTAGTCTTCCTCTTGTTCTCCTCCGGCCCACATCACACCAGCCCCACCCAGGCCGCAGACTGCCCTCCTCTAGGCCTGGTGCCTGCCGGGACACTTCCTGGGCCTCCTTCCCCTGCCCCCTCGCCCGCACCCTGGCCCCTGACCCCACCTGCTCCTGTTCTTGAGTAATTTATAAACAAAGAGATTAAACTATTCTCTTGCCCCAGAGGCCCTGGGCTGCTGGGAGAAGAAACAGAGGCGGATCTTGTTTTCTGCCTCATGTGCTTCCCCATTTTCTCTTACCCAAGTCCGGGTCCCCATTTGACAGAAGACTAAGGCCCAGAGAGGTAGTGAGCTTCCCACCTGACGGAGCACTGCAGCGCAGGCTCCCCACATGGCAGGCAGTCACCATCACACTCGGGGCCAGGCCCTGAGCACTAGCATTTGTGTCTGAGATAGAGGGCCAGAAATGGCTTTAACCCAGGAACGAGGGACCTCGCAGGCCAAGGGGTGGGGAAAGAACTCATTCTTGCCAGAGGGTACTATGGGCAAGGGACTAGCTTGGGGGCAGGGCCAGTTCTCAGAGGTGTTCAGCTGGGTCATTTGTGAGATTCTAAATGACACGAACAAAAGGGCAGGGTCACTATGTGAAGGAGGTCAGGAAGGAGTTGGCCTGGACGGAGGGTGCTCCTGGGGGACAAGAAGGTGCTGGAGAGAAGCAGAGGTGGAGCTGTGGAGGCCTTGGACATCTGGGTCAAGTAAGGATGCATCCTGAGGGCCCCAGGGCACCCTGGAAGGTATGAGAGCAGAAGGGGGCAGAACAGGACCAGGAGTGACCTTTCACAGTTGCCACTCTGAGAGCAGCAGGAGGGTGGCTTGGGGTAGTGAAGGCTGGAAGCCCAGGGGCCCAGGAGGTGGCCTGGATGAGAGGAAGAGGCCTGTCTGGAGCGGAGGGGCAGGGGGCACTTTGGGGGAGGGATCCCAGCACTGTGGTAGGGTGAGGAGAAAAAGCGAGGAGCCCAAGCTGAGCCCCGGATTTCTAGGCTAAACCCCTGGAGTGAGGCTGCTCCCGTGCCTGGAGGATGGAGTGGCAGGAGAGCCACTGGGCCCAGTGTTTCTGACATCTTGGGATCGTGAAAGGAGAGGAGGTGTAGTATTGTTTCCTTGGTTGCTGGGTGAGCCAGGAGGCCTCCACTGAGAGGAAACCTCCTGGTCCTAGGCTGGGCCCGCTGCTCCCTTCCCCCTTCTAAGCCACGCCTTTGCAGGGTTTTAGGCCTCCTGCCCCAGGGGTGGGAGGTGGAGGGGGATGGCTCACAGACCAAGGTGACAAATGAGCCCCTGCCACCAGCCAGCTACCTGTTCCTGTGTCTACGCTGGATCCTCATGGCAGCCCAGGGCAAACCTGTGAAAGAGATGGGTGGAGGGGCCTCCCTCTTTCCGTAACCCCTGCGAGGCAGCTGAGGGCCACCCCCAGTCCTGAGGCAGAGGGGGCAGCAGGTGTAATGGGCAGGGTCAGTACCTCTGCTCCTCTGGAACTGGGGCTCCAAGTCAATCACAGGGTGCAGGCCCAGGTCTCTGCTCCAAGACCCTTTGCATGTCCCCCAGCCCCCACAGCAGCAGGTCTCTGCAAGGTGGGGCTTCATGAACTTTCTCTTCCAGTTTGAGCCTGGGTTGAATGCCCAGCTCTGCCCCAACATCAGCCCCAGGTAGAGAGGTCATGGGGCTGGAGGACCTTCGTCATTGACCTGAATGGGGCCCCTCTTTAGGGAACGCCTCAGTGACAGGCACTGTCTACTCCGCAGGTGGAGCCCAGGCACTGCAATGGAGGAGCCGGGCAGACACGAGCTCTCCCTGCCAGCAGCTGGGCCCCATCCCATCAGCAAGACCACTGAGGAATGAAGCCAGGCAGCCTTCTTTCTCCCAGCTCCCACCCCACCACAGCTAGCAGTGGGCTGACTCCCCTCAGTGCAGACCCCTGTGCAGCAGCTCCTGGCCAAACCAGGCCAACATCCTCCTTCCCCTCCAGAATCAGGCTCGGCCATTCCACGGCTGCCTCTCTGCCTGAAAGGGAGCCATCAGCCCTGCTTGTCTCTGTCTCAGCCAGGAAAGCCCGTCCATGCCCAGCGCTGCCTCCCCAGACTGCTGTGGAGCTGCTGCAAAAGGCCTGGCTTCTTGCTCAGCAGCCAAGCCTGCCTGGGACAGGGGGTGCCGCAGACTAAGGTGCTTGGAGTGGAAGATGAGGGAAGGCTGAGCTGGAGCGCTGTGGCCCAGCTCCGGGGCTGGAACTGAGCCTGGGGCGCTGCCTGGGCTCTGAGAGGCTCCGGGCTGCCCCTCGCGATGTGGCCTCGCCTGGGGCTCCCAGAGCAGTTTACTTCCTGAGGGGCCGCAGGACCTGGGCTGGGCTGACATGGAGGGACTGGAATCGGCTTGGGAAGATCACCTGCCGCCCCCAGCCCAGGCCTTGTGATCCTGAGCTACACCCCCGAGTTTGGTGCCGCTTCCAAGAGCCCCAGTGATCCCAGCCCCCACTGCCTTCTATCCTCAGCACCTGGCCATGGAGGGCGGGTGGGCCCAGGGGGATGGAATGGCCAGACCCAGCACCGCCAGGGCCTTGCCTTTTTCATTTGGGAAACTCCATAAGCTAGACTGGGAGCGCTGGGGAGCTGACGCTCTGAATGTGGCAGGAAGGATCCCTGCACATGGGGTAAGCCTGGGTGCCCTGAGGGTCCGTCTCAGACCTGAGCCTCAGAGATGCGAGCTTGAACTTTTCCCTTAAATGTCCACATTCCTATCTCATTCCCCTGCTCCCCAAGCTTCTGAGAGCCAGTACTGAAGAATTAGCTGGTTTTGCAACCTGAGTGGCAAAACTTCGGGCCCCAAGCCAGCAGATGGTCCCCAACTGGCTGTGGGCCATGACCCCACACTTGTGCCAATGAAAACGAGAAGCTACATGGAAAACCAGAAAACTTGAAAGGTCTTGCTATAAGGCAATGGGCTGGGCCCCAAGGTGTCTGTGAGCTTAGAGCTGGCAGTGAAGAAAGGAGGCAAGTTCCTTGCCCGGAAGGAGTTAGGGCTATCGTGGGGCTGTACTCAGGAATCGAGTCTGTTGGGCTGGTTGCTCTTGCTCTCTGCGGCTACATACAGAGGCCCTGGAATGACCTGGAAGAACCGAGGGCACCAGCCACATCGCTGGAAAGCCGTAACCTGCTGCCATAGCTGCAGCACACTCAAGGTGTGAAATGGTCAGAACTAGTACACGTGGAGCAGGAGAGGCACATTCCTGACACCTCTCCCCCTGCGGTCCACACCAGCAGGCTCGAGCCAGTCCTGGAATGTGAAGAACGCAGAGGGGACAGCTGCTGGCTGGTAGGATGGGCCCCACATCCTACCCTGTGCCAACAGGCCTCCCGCAGGAGGTATCCTGCTTCTTCCTTCCTCGTGAGTAGCTTTCCCATCAAGCATCCAGGCCACAGGATGGACAATTCCAGGACTTTATCCCACTGCCCTAGAATCGCTGGTGCTCTGGAGGGCCAGCTCTGGAGGGCTGGGCTCGGCAGGCCAGAGAGAGAGGTGTGGAAGCCCCACCTGCCTGCCCTGCACCCCGGTCAGCACCCGCAGCCCCAGCTCTCTCCGATGTCCTTGCTATCCAGCTGGATGTGGTCAGTGCTCTTCTCACTGAGCAGAGGGCCCCCGTGCCTCATGACCAGCTCCGTGGCCACCCTCACAAAGGCCTCCTCCACGTTGCTCGAGTCCTTGGCAGACGTCTCGATGGCACACAGGATGTCGTAATGCTCTGCCAGGCTCTGTGCCTCGGCCAGCGGGACCTCGCGGAGCTCGCTGAGGTCTGACTTGTTCCCTGTAGGGAAAGGCCAGGTGCAGCTTGGTAAGACCCACAGGTGCCAGGCAAGCCCTGTCCTACCTGGCAGGGCCAAGCTGAGAGACCCAATGCCATCCATTGCCCTCTGTCAGCTACCAATAAACACAGTTGTGCATAGTAATCTATCTTGTTTTTAAAAAAACCTTTCATATTTTAAAGCTCTTATTCTATCCTTTAGTCCCTCATTTTTTTCTTTTTTATCTTTGCCAGGGGCTTGTATATTTTATTGCTTCTTCCTAAGAAATAGAAGCAGTAAAGTCTGGTGAAAAGAATACAGTACTTTAGAGCTAAAGATAACCTGAGTAGAAACTCCAGCTTCCTATTACTTGCTGTGTGACCCCTGGGCAAGTCACTTCATCTGAGTCTCCATTTCGCCAGCTGTGATGCCAACTTCAGCAGAGTAGGGATTAAATGATGCAATGAACATGAAAACATCTGGCACATGGCAGGCACTCCATAAATGTTGAAGTAACAAAGAAATCTGGCATTTCTGATTTTTTTTATTTTGCTAAAATTTTGTTATGCTTATTATTTATTCTCTCCTATTTTCCTTTGGAATTTTTTTATTCTCTGTAAGATCATGGCTTTTGATTGTTTTGCTTTTCTGATAGTAAGAGCACAGGCTACCACTTTACCTGAGAGTACATCTCTGGCTTCTCCTCTAAGGTGTGAGATGTTCCATTACATTCTAAATAATCTGGTAAACTGCTCCTTGATCCAATTTCTAGAAGAATTTTTTTAAGTCTCTAAGTGGTTGACTTTTGTAATGTGATTATAGGGAGGACAAAAAAAAAAAATAGATAGGCATCTATAAAGATCTAAAATTTCTTTGGTAACCTTAAATGATACAGCAACCAATTTCAATTTGTGGAACTTATTTCGATCCTGATTTCACCAAACTGGAAAAAAAAAAGCACATGTGACATTTATGAGCAATTATAAATTTGAACACAGATCAGCTATTTGATTATATTAAGGAAATGTCAATATTTTTTAGATGTGAAAATGGTATTGTTATATATCTTGTAAGTGTTTGTATCTTTTATAGATTCATGTTGGAATATTTACAGATGAAATAGTTTGGTGTTGGGATTTGCCTCAAAACAGATACAAGGGGTGGGGGATGAGGGTAGAGATGAAATTGGACATCAGTTACTAATTGCTGAAGCTGAGTGATGGGTATCTGTACAAAATGGTATTTTTGTATTTGTATAAAAAGCTCTATAACAGAATGTTTTATTTTAAAAGTCCTGGATAAAAGGGAAGTGTAACGCCAGGTAAGGAGAGCTCCATTCCGGCCTGGGGAGTCAAGCTCTGCTGAGTGCTTCCAAATCCCAGTCTAGGCAGGCTGTGGAAGGCAGGCTGCATGGAACCAAGTGCCACCTTTTTCCCAGCTGAAGCCATGTCCAGGCCCCATCTGTACAACCTTATCTTAGAAGAACAGCCTGACTGTTGGGGCGAGGACCCCACGGACCACACAAATGATCTAAAGCTTCTAGAGCCCAGGTCTGGCAAGTTTATGTAGGAGGAAAAGGGAAAATGGAGACAATGGCACCCCTCTGCAGCAGCGGTTCTCACAGTGGGGTCCCTGGACGAGCAACATGGATGTCACTGGCGTCACCTGGGAACTTGTTAGAAACGCTCTTTCATAGGCCCCTCCCAGACTTGCTGAATCAGGGGCCTTGGGGCTAGTGCCCATTCTCTGTGCTTTAACAAGGCTTCGGAGTGATTTGGAGGCATGCAATGTTTGAGAAGCCCTGCTCTGCAGTGTGGTGTGACAGAGCAAATCACTGAATTATGATTGGCAGAACTGAACTCAAATTTCACAGGCTGTATGAACTGGGATAAATTACTTCACTTTCTGAGCCTCAGCTCCATCCCCTGACTAAGGAGGAGTAGCCAGAGTTAGGGGACTAAATCCAACGACACATGTGAAGATTTAAGCAGTGTTAACCACTGTGCAGATACATGGTAAGTGCAAAGCAAATGTTAGCTTCCTTTCTTCCTTCCTCTAACTCTGATTTTGAATATAACTTTATAAGTGAGTAGCAGGATCAGAATTTGCAAGATTACATACATAGTTCAAGCCTGGGCTCCTGCCTGGCCAAGCTCAGCCCCTCCCTGCCCTCCGGCTTGTCCTTTGTTTAAAAAGGAGAGGCTGAGAGAGACGGATCGTGGCCCCAAGGAACCATGCCCGCCTGCCCTGTTCCCCCAAGCTCACCGATCAGCAGCTGCACAATGTTGGAGCCCGCGTACTTCCTCACGTCCTCGATCCAGTGAGGCACCGACAGGAAGGAGCTCCTCTTGGTGATGTCATAAGCGAGGATGGCCCCATTGGCACTGCGGTAGTAGCTCTGCGTGATGGTGCGAAATCGCTCCTGGCCAGCCGTGTCCCAGATCTGCAGCTAAAGAAATAGGGGGTCTCCCATGAACCTTGTGGTATGGCCGAGCACCAGGGTACAGGGAGGGCAATCCCACAGCACGCCCAAAGTGCTGGTTCCACTGGGCAGGCCACCAGTCCACACCTTGGCAAGAATCACACAGGAGGGGCTAGAAGGTGGACAGAGAGAGAGAGAAGGCCTTCTGAGCCCTCAGAAAGCAACTCGGTGGACCAAATTTGAGGAAGACAAAGATGCAAAGGGAAGGTTGGCAGCCCTCATCTCTGCCCTCTCGAGTCCCAGGGAAAGGTGGTGAGGGGACAAGGGATGTACTCTGCACTGCAGCAGGAAGTGCCCTCGACCTTGGGTCCTCTATGTGCCCTCTCTCCCCTAAACAGTGGGCTCACTGCTGGGGAGGCTGAGCCAGAAGACCTCTAGCAGCTCAGTCTGGCAAGCTGGCTCCAGGTGTACCTGGCTGTGTGCATGTCCAGTGCCTTCCCCTCTCTGCCTGTAAATGCACCACTGTACCCAGTCATGTATAACCCTCCAGCATTAGGGTTCTCTACTTCTGCCTCAGCGATGCCCAGGAAGATGCTCACAACCTGGTGGTGAGGGGGCCTGAGCTGTGGCAGTGAGGGACCAGGGAAGGCAATGGGCAGAGTCCTCTTGTGGGGCTTTTACCATCAGCTGACCCAGCTGGGCCATAGGCAAGGAGCTTGGCGGCTTGTCCCGCCCATGTCTTCACTTAACACACACCCATTAGTGACTGCTGCCAAGCCATCCTGGACATTGGCCATGCAGGAGATGTGCCTGTGTGTGGCTTTCTGTGGAAGCAGCAGCCTGGCAGGAAAGACACCAGATAGGGCGGGGGAGGGGATGGGCGAGGGGCAAACCTGGATTTTGACTGTGCCCAGGCCAGAAGGCTGCCTACTCTGGGCAGCGATCATCAGCTCCAGGATGGACTATGGGCAGGCATCTGACTGAGCAGGTGTTAGGGCTCTCAGGGGCTCATGGCTTGCCTTCTCTGCTCCACAAATCATAGGTTCTCGGGGCTCTCTAAAGAGCCCTTGGTCTCCACCGTGCTGCAGGTCCATCCATCCTCCTTCTCTGGTGCAAGCACTCTGGGTGCCTCTTTATCTAGTTCTCAAGGTGTGGGAGGTCCTCTAGACTATCTGGGGTGGGAATGGACCCCAGAGGCCTCAGATAATTCCACAGGGCAGGGCTTCTGGCCCTGGCACTGTGGAGGTGACCACCTATTCCCTAGGCCCCACTGGGGAAGAGAGAAGTCTGAGTTAATGAGCTCTGGGCCACAACATGCCAAATAAAATCTTCCAGTCCTGAGATTTCCTATTTACTCCTCAGCTGTGAGAGGCTCCAAGGAAACCAGGCCCCATTCTCCATAGCTCATGGTGTCTGCTAGCTCATGCGTGGGGAGAAGCGAAAGGAGTGAACTTTGGCACTACACAAACCTGGGATCCAGATGACCAAGAACTCATCTCCATACCCCAGAGGGGAGCATACAACACAAAAGACAGAGGCCAAACACAGCATAAAGCAACTTGGAGGAAACAGAAACTATACAGAGGCAAAAGCCTAAAAAACAATCATGAGAATTTCAGAAATAGGAAAAGATCCATGAAACAATAATAGAACACTATTTTAAAAAACCAAAAAATTAGAGGGATCCATTCAGGAAAAAAAAAAAAAAAAGATCTTGAAAATTAAAAATACAATAAATGAGAAATGCAACATAAAGGTTGGAAGATAAAGTTGAAGAAATCCCTCCAAAGTAAGAAAAAAATACCAACAGATGGAAAAAAAAAAAGAAAATTGTAGAATCAACCTAGGAGGTCCATTATCAGGATATTAAGAGTTTCAGGAAAAAAGAATAGTAAAATCAAGGGGAGAAATCAAAGAAGTACTTCATGAAAATTCTCCAGAACTGTCTGAAAGGCCCACTAAGCACACACACAAGGGAAGAAGAGAGACCCACACAAAACACGTGACTGTGGGAATTCCAGAACAAGGGGGAAGAGGAAGAGATCCTAAAAACTTCCAGAGAGGAAAAAAAAAAAGAAAAAGATAAAACAGGTTTCAAGGTTTCACACAAAAGATCCATATGGCATTAGATATTCAATGAAACAATGCCTAAAATGATTTCCAACCTACAATTCTCTACCCAATCAACTATCAGACAAGTGCGATGGTTTAATAAAGGTATTTTCAGACCTACTGGCCTCAAAAAATTTACCTTCCTTTCACCCTTTCTCAGGACGTTACTGAAGGTTCCTCTGTCTAAAGAAATCAAACAAAAATAAGAAAATGTGGGATCTAGAAAACAAAGAATTTAACTCAAAAGAGAGGCAAAGGGAATCCCCAGGATGGTGGTAGAGGGAGATCCCAAGACAATAGCCAAGCAGTGAGCCTGGATGTCAACCCACCTGGAGCAGGCCACAGGGCTCTGGGGGCAGCTTCCAGCTCCGACAGAGTAACGAGTGGCAGACAAGCCCTCCCTCCATATACAACCATTAGATTGAAAAATACGGGAGGCTGTCATTTTCAAGATGTAAACACCAAGGAGCACAAGACTGTAATCCTGAAAGATGCAAAACTCATGAAATGCACCACATGATCGCCATGACTCTCTACCTGGGGACAGTTTCCTGACCATAGGACAGTGGGCTAGAATCTAAGCAGAGTACGGTGGTCCCACAGAGCTGAGAAGGCAAAGATCAGAGTCTGGAGCAGCTGATGTGACTGGGAGGAGGAGCGATGCAGGGGGTGGGAGAGCCTACAAGTCTATGTCGGGGGTCCCTGTGAGTCCTTGCCTGAAGGCTCCATGCACAGGGGGAAACTACCAGAATCTTACCAGAGAGTGGCTCCTACAGGGTTGAGAACAGACCAGAGATAGAGGTACAATAAGTGAAGCAGAAAATTCATTTGATGAACTTAACAGCAGAATGGAGATGGCAAAAAATAAAAAAAAAAAAAAATCAATGAACTTGAAGAAAAATCAATAGAAATTATTCAATCTGAAGAACAAAGAGGAAAAAAATTGAAGAAACATGAACAGAGACACAGGGATCTGGGACAACATCAAACTGTCTATATTCACGTAATTGCAGAACCCCAAGCAGAAGAAATACAGACTATATCATTGCAGACTATAACCAAACTGATGAAAACCAAAGGTAAAAGAGAAAATTTTTAAAGCAGTCAGAAAAAAAAAAAAAAAAAGATGTTCTATGCAGGAGAACAACAATACAAATGACAACTGCCTTCTCATCAGAAATAATGGACGCCAGAAGACAACGCTGAAAAGTGCTAAAAAGAAAAAAAAAAGTACTGAAAGAAAAACTTTCAACACCAAAGTCCATATCCAGGAAAAAATATCTCAAAAATGAGGGCAAAATGAAGATATTTTCAGATAAGTGAAAGTGGAGAGAATCTCCCTGGAAGGCCCGCACAACACGAAATGCTAAAAGATAGTCTCTAGGCTGAAGGGTAACGATATTAAATGGAAACTCAGATCCACAAAAGGAATGAGATGTACCAGAAATGGTAAATAAGTAGGTATATATAAAACATTATTTTTTCTTCTTGTAATTTCCTTACAAGACAACTGACTGTAAAATTATAAATAATGACTGCAAAGTGGGGTTTATAATGTACTAGAAATAAAAAATGACAATAATAGCACAAAGGAAAGGAGGGCAGATAAATGAAATTATGCTATTGTAAAGTTACTACACTTGTGAAGCATCAGATGTGAGGTGAGAAATGAGAAGTGTCAGTTGTGAAGTATGAAGTGGTACAAAATTGACTCCAAAGAGACTTTATAAGTTAAGGATGCATATCATTAGCTCTATTTCAACCAATAAGAGAAAATAACAATTCAATAGAGGAAATAAAATGGTATTCCTGAAAAAAAAAATTCAATTAAACCAAAAGAAAGTGGGAAAGGAACAAAGGAATAAAAAATGGAAGAGATAATAACAAATGGTGGATTTAAACTCAACCATGCCAATAATTACATTAAATATAAACGGACTAAGCATATCAATTAAAAGCTATAGTTGTCAGATGGGAAAAAAGGCAAGATCCAACTATACGCTATCTACTTAATACCTATATTGTATCTACCTGCAAAAATAGGTAGACAGTAAGAGAATGAAATATATATATATATATATATATCTCATAAAAAGTAAGCATAAGAAAGTATAGTCATGTGTTGCTTAATGACAAGGACATGTTCTAAGAAATACCCTGTTAGGCAATTTTATCATTGTGCAAACATCATAGGGTATACTTACACAGACCTAGATGGTATAGCCACACCTAGGCTCTATGATACTAATCTCATGGGACCACAGTTACATATGCAGTCCATCATTGACCAAAACATTTTTATGTGGCACATGACTGAATAAGAATGATGGTTATGGTAATATCAAAGTAGACTTCCAAACAAAGAATTACAAAAGATAGACATTTCCTAATGATAAAAGAGGCAATTTATCAGAAAGACATAATGATACTAAATATGTAGCACCCAATTATTAGTTTTAAATTTCATGAAGTTAAAACTGACATAACTAAAGGGAGAAACAAATCCACAATTGCAGTTGGAGATTTTAACACCTCTCTCTCGGTAACTGATAGAGTAAGTAGACAAAAAATCAGTATGGATAAAGAACATCTAAACAATATTATTGATCCAATTGACATTTCCAGAACACTACTACACCCCAAACTGCAAAACAGCACATTTTTTTTCAAGTGGACATGGAATATTCACCAAGATAAACCATATGCTGAGCCATCAAATGTCTCGATAAATTTCAAAAGATGGAATTCTTATAGAATATTACCCTAACCACAAGAAAACTAAAATAGAAATCAAGAAAGCTCTGGGAGAGACTTCTTCAAGAAGATGGAACTGAGAGAAAGCAATATATTGAGTGGAGAGTTATAAAATATGTTAGACAGACAGAGAGGAGAGTTATACCAATTAGGGGAGAGTT